TATAGTAGTGAGGTATCGAAAATAAAACTTGTTGTTAAACAAATGTTTAAACAACTCTACTTATTCAATTATTTACAAGCTGCCCAGTGTCGGATAACAATACGAAGAATTAAATTGTGGCGGATTGCTACAAGTTCTTCAAATACCTATAGAATGATATGTTTCTTTTTAGTGAGTGTAAAACACGTAAATACACCTGTTTGACTTCTCTATACAGTTGCAGAAATACCGGGACAAGCCATGATCAGTTCCAGATCAGTTCTTATATCAACACATTTATTTTACCTCCAATTATTTAAACCGAAGTGTATCCTCTACAAACACTTCTTAACCAGAATGCAGTTATTTACCAGATTCTATTATCTAACTCATTCGAAATGTGAAAGATAATAAGTTGTTGCCGTTTCTTTTCTACAGGTATATAATCGACGTGATACGCTGGACATAAAAGATTTAGCAAAATTTAACAAATATAGTGGTATTAACGTAATGTAGAAAATGTGATAACTATCTCGATTATTAACTGAATTAAAATCTAGAAGGAACTGGAATGCATATTTAGTTCCGCAGTGAGTTTTAAAGTTAGTGTAACAACAAGTTTAGTGTTTCTTTTGTTACTAATGAAGCTCGTGACTTACTGTTTTCCAAACAAAAACTTACACTCTCAATCAAATATGTCTTTAGTAATCCAAGTTACACATTACAGCCATCTTTAATAGTTTCAAAAGTTTTATTCCCATTGTCGATATATGTATATATATATCTCTTTAAATGAAAGACAAAATACATGTACAAAATACGAAGAAAATCGTGAACGTTCTATTATTTTTGTGCAAAAAATCTACATTACATACTAAAATATTTCAGGCGAACTGTATCACACCTCGTTTAAATGTACGAACGGATAATCCACATTGAGGGAAGAGTCTTGTGTAAGAATAGACATGCATTTTGAGGGATGAGTACAGTGTACTTTCGGATAATTCCGAGTATGGGAAAGGGCCAGTGAACGAACAGACAATCCAAATTAAGGGAAGGGTACAGTGTAAGAACGGATTATCCAAACTGGGGAATGATCCAGTGTAGGAACGGATAACTGAAATTGGGAGAAGGTTCAAGGAAAGCAACAGTAAAAGACAGTGGTATCTTTTAACCATGATGTTCGATATACAACAATTTTAAAAATTCAACAATAGTAACATCACATCCACCAAAAGAGGATCTCATCACAGTGACGCTCCACCTATCGGGACAAACAGAGAATAGACCAACAGGTGGAGGATGGGCACTCAATCACAGGCTTACTTATCTTCTGAGGTTTTAACCTAGTTTAACTGTACACAGAAAGGAAGTATTTAGATTGAGCAATTCATGGGTGAGTGTAATTGTTCACAGTTTAAAAACACCAAACAAATATTTATACAATGACATACAAAATTCAGTACATCAACGTATATATATACCTAAAACATTTATATATTTACTAAATAAACAAATATCTAAAGTCTGCAAAATCACAATATTATTCACAATAGCAAGTGACCATCATACGAAATGCTTAGAAGTTCCTAAGGAAACAATCATTAATTAGTTTTAAGTTTAAAGCTACAAACTTAGAGTAATGAACGTGCTGACTTGAAATACATAAAAACACATTTATTAACAATGTCTGACCTTTTCACGACAACAATAAAAACTACTCAAGTTCAAATTTTCGTTTCAAATTGATACTACGACACTGACTTCTCCAACAGATGTCGCTTCTGTTGTAAATTAGATAAACTCTGATTTATTTATTATTAATATTTAAGTTTTAAATATTGGATAGTACACTATGTCATAGCATTTTAATAAAAAAAAAACACACACACACACACACGCAAAGAAACAACAAGTTTGATATATTAAACTAGCTACAAGTTATATTTATTGAATCAAATTTAATTTTCTATAAAATTAAACATTGAGTGGAGCATGACCTTGAAATACAGTTTTTAACGTTCAAACAAACAAGTATGAAAAGAAGACATGTTCTTATCTAATGGTGTATAGTACTTTCTTCAGTATTAATTATTTTAATGTGTAAACATATGAACAGTCTCGTCCATTTATTTTTTTCATCGGACGATTAGGGTTGTGAATCAGCTGACAAACGAGATGTATCCAAATTGAAAGAGATCGTAAGATGTAAAGTCATTGAACAAAATGCACATAACGTTTACTGCATCGAAACAAAACAGAGGGTGTAGGAAATATTTATATATTTACAATTAATGTTTCCATATGGCGTTTAATTAATACGACAATGTAAAAAAATTTGCTCTTCACTGTGATGGGTCACATAAACTTATTACACTTGTTTTACCGGGAAAGCAAAGTTCGTCAGTTTCGTCACATAATACGTGACTTTTTTTCAAGCCTTTAAAAACTTGTTTCTGTGTTAATTGTTTGTCGTGTTTGGCAAATGTGCCTTTCCACTTCAGCAGTGATAATGTGGTGACCTACACTTTAACTTATATAGACTAGAAGTGAAAAACCCAGAACTTAATTTGAAAACGAGTCAGAAAGTACGTTCCAGTGTTTAAGGAATGTTCTTTTGTTTTTCTGGAAACTTCAGCAAAACTGTATTAAGTTCTTTCACACAGTCAGTTTAAAACAAAGATTATATGTATATGTGTTTGTGACAATAATAAACTTTCATGGTAAGTATTACAGTATGTTACAGAAATTGAACATGAGAGATACGCATGCGTGTATTAAGCCGAATTTCGGAAATAAGATGCTTGTAGCTTAAAAGATCTATTCAAAACTTCCGCATTGAAATTTAATCAATTGCTCAATCTGTACACCTTTAGCGAAATTCTGTACACTATTTGAAAATTCTGCCTTGAAACTAAAATATATATATATATTGTTTAAAATTCTCTCCTGAAACTACGACATATAACATATATTGTTTGAAAGTTTTTCTCCTGAAACTACAATATATACATATACATACATTCTGTTTGAAAGTTCTCTCCTGAAACTACAATATATATATATATATAGTGTTTGAAAGATCTGTTTGCCAATGAAAAGTTCATATTCTTAAGAGTGCATCAAACACGAAAATGTTCTGGTTTCTGTTTCTCCTATATTCCATATGACAGGTTTTTTTTTTCTAGCGTAGCCCACTTGTGACCACAAGGCTCCAAATATTGTACAGAATAAGCAGAAGAAAAAAATGACCCATTAATGGGCATTCTTTTAAAGTTAGTGTTTACAATGATATTTACAAAGAACTTGAGCACCAGATGAGCACACTAAACTCACAAAGAAACAAAAATATCAATTAACTGTACTACGGTGCAGAAGTGTTTGGCACAAGTCAGCTGCCAAACATAAAATGTCACAAGTAAAATAAACAAACGAAAAAAGTGAGCAAACGGTGACCAATGACAATAATTCTGATAATGGTAAAAACAAGATTCTACTTATATATATATATATATCTACACAACTATTTTTACATATCCTCACTGAAACAAGCGTCCGATATCAGCTGTTCACGGGGTTATCGGAATCTCGTCAATTTTTTAATGAGTTGAGTATTATAAAAAAGTAGCCTAATTATCATAGTTGCCGAGGCAACGACTAGTGCAAAACTGGGATGCATGACGAAATAAGCAATAGAGTTTTTTTTAACCGACTCTACGTCAATATTTCAATGCCTTTTAAAAGTACAAGATTTTTTAAACAACGTTTTACTAATCATAAGTAAAAAATATATATATATTTATGCAGAATAGTGTACAATTTTCATCAAACTACTAAATTAGAAAAAAAAAACTATTTGACTGGTAACGTAAAAGGTTTAAAATTCACATAGTGTGGAAACATACACGTTGCTTTACGAACTGTGTGAATCCATCAGTTTTGAGCTTAAAGGAATCGTAGATTTTATATTTCGATTTTTATTACGAAAATTGTTCCTGGAAACTGTTCATTTCATTTATGCGTTATTTTTTTCCTTTTGTATGCAACTGGAGCTTATAGTGGTCATTTCCGCTTTTTTTTCTTGGAATACAACTGGTGCTGCTGGTCGCTTCTATTATTTTTTCCTGTTGAGATGTAACCGGAACTTGTTGTAATTTCCATTGTTTTTCCTGGTAGGATACGAGTGGAGTTGGTGAAAAACACCAGGAGTCGCTTTATGTATAAAAATCCAAGAATTAGTGACTCTAGTTATTAAATATTGTCGATTTGTGGCATTTTACCATTTATAAATCGATATTTACAGCACTACACCTTAAAACACCATGATAGAAGTCCTCTATAAAGAATACAGTCACATCATTTCTATATTCGATCAAGAAAATCTCATATTTTATCAGTATCACGATAGACCAGATAGTCAGACTTCATTCTAAAGCTCATCCAGAGATAAAAGTACATCACACATTAACGTGTCCGCTCGCCAGCATCGAAACTCAACTCAACTGGAACAATCTGAACAATTAGACAATCAGAAGCTCTAGAACCACAGAGATAATGTGTTAGAACTGCTCGGACATTTTTACAAGAGGACTGGTGATGTCATTACGCGCGAGAGTGATACACAGATTCTCATCCGACAAAAAGTGAAACAATTCATGGAAAGGGGGAGGAACAGGTGGCTGAAACACCAAAAACCACGTGGTCGATATCGTCGTTCACATGAAGTAATGAATGACGTATATCTAACAGCATCTTGTTATCAGCAATTCAAGAATTTCGTGTACCTGAAAAATAAAGAATTGATTAAATTACAGCAATTTTAGTAGAGTTAAAAACTATTTGAAAGAACACGTAAATAGAGAAATTGACAAAAAAAAATTCTCGATGAATCCAGTAATGATTTCCAGCCATGGCTTAGATCACAGTGACGATAAAAATATTATATTAATAAACTTTATATGATTTTAAATGAAACTTCCAAATTAGCATAAACGTACTGGCCTTTAATTAATTTACTTTATTTAAACAAATGTTGTTGTTTTTTACAAAGAAATGACACTAATATTAATGTCCCCTCGTGAGAGAAGAATTACAAAGATAAAATCAGGGGTTCAATTCCCCTCGGTGAACACAGCAGATAGCTCGAAGTGGTTTTGCTATAATAAAACACACATACTAATATTAAAATAAATTTAACAAACCGCCATCTATGATAGAGATTGTAAATGCTAGCTTCTGAAATTCCTTATGAAACTATCGAACCAGTGGGACTATGACCCACCTTTACAGGGCCGCAATAATGCAAATTTAATGTCTGAACTACGATTTTGCACTTTTTCAGTTAAATGTTCATTGCCGCTATAATGTAAATTTAATTTCTTTAACCAAGTTACGAACGGTAATTAGTAGGCCTACTTATTTACGTGCTTTAATGTAAATCAATGCTAAATTTTTGGTCCGCTTACTGGGAAACCCGTTAAAAGTGTTTTCACGAAATATCCAGGTTTCCAAAGGGGTTAGGGTGAAGAGTTTTACTTTTGTGCAAACCTCGGGGCCGAGGTGATTCGTTTGACACCACTTAGATATTGATGAGGCAGGGTAAACATTTTTACCTTTGTGCAAGCCTTGGGACCTAGACGGTTCGTTTGGTACCACTTAGGAGAAGTTGGTATTAGTTGATTGGTAATTGTTGTACGTTTTGGCAAGTAAACAACGTTAAACTTAAGTGACTATAAATCGGAACATCGATCGGCTTTTTTCTGTCGTACTTTGAAAAAACACTCATTTGCAATAGCAGGGATATACATCGATTTGGCGTATTTTGGTAATTCGCCTAAAGCAAAGAACATGCATTATCACGCAGGAAAAATAAATTCGATAAACTCTTTAAATACTATTAAATAACATTATTAAGCTGTAATCATGTTTCACCGACTAAAATAGATTTTCAGCCGCGGCATTGTGGCTCATAGAATGACTCTGAGTTTTTTTGTTTTTTTTTAAAGTACAAACGTTTAACTCATAACTCCATCAACGTGACCGATTTGAGATCTAATTACAGTTTTGGACTCAGGAGGTCAAACTCTTTCGATTGATATATTTGACCACGCCCAAGGTGTCGTAGAGTAATTTATTCTTATCCTGCCTAAAAGAATTTCAATTTGAGGGTAAGCTGGTAGAGATCCTGGTGAATAATAAAATCAAATTGGGTATACGCGCGCTCCACATTTGGTATCGCTGGCGCACAAAAATATAGCTAACAAAAGGGGAAATAAAGGTCTCATAGATGAATTTACTCTAATACCGCCTAAAAAAATTCAAGTGCCGCGGCTATTGAGGATTCCCTCTTCTTTTGTCATGAAAACTGAAAATAACTAGTGATTTCGAACTCTTTACGAAAGTACTTACCACCTCTAACGTAAACTACACTTTGTCGGTAATGCGCATGCGTATCACCGAATCCAGACAAACATCCAAATTCTATACTTCTCGTCATATCCTTCTCATAGATTATGCGTTGTGCAAAATATTTTACATAATACTACTGCTGTTTTTTGTTTGCTTTTTACTATTATAGCAATTTAATATATATATATATTTTGACATTTAGTTAATGTAATTTTATTTTTTAATCAAAAATACTATTGCTTATAGTAGTTTTTAACTTCAGTCTGTTTCAACAGTCTCTGCAACAGTGGCACTATGTTATTGTTAATCACCTATATAGTGCTGACTCTGATTAAGTCATGTAATCGAAAGTAGACCAAACATGATTTCTAACTACGTCTGAGAATGTTTTTTTTTATAGGTATCACGGAAAAGCCAGAGTGATGTTCCGATTGGGTGACTGTGCTAAAGCTGGTCAAGGACCGTCTCATACGTAAATAGTAGATTCTTCAATGAACCTTTTAATAATCATTTTCATTGCAAGGGGTCAAAGCATAATTCCCCTAGTTATACATAACAAAAAAATTAAGTTCAGTACATTATTTGGGTCATTAACAAAGAACGTGTCGTGAATTTACATAATACATATGGGTGTACACATATATGTACAATTTATTTCATGATAACCGCCTAAATGTGACTAAAATGTCGATTCAAAAATGTTTGAATTTTTTAACATTCACCCATTAAAGTGACTCAGTCAGTTATGTAATAGTTTCTGTCAGAAGAGCCGTTACAGTACTGCAAGGTTCCGGGTAACCTACAGGATAAAAATAGGATAAGAAGGAGATAAAATTATTTTTCTTAGTAAATATGCCACAAAATGATGCTGAACACAATCATCAACTAGGGTACATAACGGTTTGTACAGTAAAAGTAAAGTACCCACCAGCGGCTGAGCGGTAACTCTGAAGGCTCGTAACGTTACAAAGTGGGTTTCGATACCCGTGGTTATCACAAAAAAAAAGAAAGAAAAAAAAAACGTTTCCAAGACGATCAGCCGACAGCTAATACTTCCAACCTAGGAAACTAATTCGTAGTATTCTCTAATTTTTGACGTGATTCAGAGAGTTTTCAATTGCCATATTATAGCTACTAGGTTATACTTTGTTGTCAGATTTACCATGGCAACGCGTGCAAAGACCAACAGAGTATATCAACGGTTGTGATTCGAAATGACCCAATAGCATAGAATTTGGAACGAATCGGGTTCTCGGTTAAAATAACTTTTAATCGCTCAATCTTGTAAGCACAGATACTTTTCGACAGCTTGGAAACGTAAATTAAGGTTTTTTTACATTACCACTTTTACTGTGAGCGTGCAGCAAGCAATCGGCTGTACAATTACAAGCATGTTATTAGCTTATTCATGCGTGCATCGCTATGACTAAAACTTCCAAACTCATAAAGCGTCTTAGTTCAGAACCACAAATAATTACTACAAATCTTATATCATAAAACACATCTAACGTCAGTGAAAGAGTGAAATTATTTGGGGTAAGATTATGTGTGTACAGGAAACTTTTATCGCATATCCACCTAAGTAAAATGCTAATTAATTTGAAGTAGGTTTTAGTTCAATAACTTGAGACCGTATAACGTTTATATAATATTTATAAAATGAAACATCTAGTACCTAAGTATCAATAACATATCGAAAGTCAAGGTACAGTAAACTGTGATTTCTGAAACGTGGTTTAATGATTATGTTTTGGAAAAAAAATGTTTAATATCGGACTATTATTAGTTATAGAAACTTTGTCAAATTATTTATCATACTCTCTCTGTTTTTGCATTGTTTCTGTAAGTTGATTTGAAATGAGAACTAGGTTGACCTACCCCATTACTGTTAATATGTAGCCGTCCTTTTAGAAGTAACCAATCAGATTCGGGAAACGGCAGGAACTATGTACTTACAATTTTAATTACACTGATGGACAACTGATACTTGCGAATTCTCAAAAATTCTGAAAGGGGTTAGTTGTTTGTGGTACAGGTACGTATGCAACTTGTTATAAGTCTGGCATCTGTTTCTGTATGATCTTTTATCCTACTCTCATCCTCTTTGCATCATTTAAGTTTAGTATTTCACACATTAATGAATTCACATATCTTACGTCATGAAATTCAAATTCACTATATACAAATACAAGTCAAATAGAGGCTATTACATGGGAAAGGAAAATATGAAACGAATAGATATCAACGACCTCGTACAATTACCCTTTCACCACAGTCTAGACAAAAAGATTAGGTAATTATGACGTAATTTTGTGGCACCGGAGTGGAACTTCTAAAGTGTCACTCTTAATATGTGTGAATAAAATAAATAACACTTTACATAACAATATTATCTAACTAAAAGTAGAAAAAGGAAATAGCGAGATCGATTCACGAGAAGAAATTAGTGTAAGCAGTTGGGGTTAAAATCTGGTGGTAACAGCAGTTTACTGTTGCAACATCTAGCAGGTCAAACACATAATTAGCCCCAGGGCCACCACGAAGGTGCGTGTTGCTAAAGTGACTATTAAAACTGCCCCCCGACAGAGTTCTTTTGTCAAATTTCAGTAGCCGACATGACGTCGATCACGCAGCTTCTCGGCTCCAGTAGAGTTGGTGCCTGTTTAAAGCGAGACGAACATCATACAAATTTCTGTCTTCTATAAACTCTTAGCTTTTGGCAACAACAAATCTTCCAGCTAGCCCATGGGCATGAGTCTGAACTTTAATTTGCTAAAGGTAATTGCAATTTAGTAATAGAGGCTATTTGTGGAATTGAACGTATACAATTAGCCAGCAGATAGATACACTACCAACATTGCAGGAGTATAACCACTCGGTTTATTGGTCTTCTGGATTTATCCCATTGTTCTTCATGCATGTTTATATTAAATCACCATTATTGTTGATTACTGATACTTCATACTGTCTGAGGTAGAACTGTATGTTTATATAAGATCACCATTATGCTTGGTTACTGACACCTGATAATGGTTGCAGTAGAACTGTGCTCCTCCACAATCTATTCTCCTCTTATTGGAAACATTGTAAACAATTTCTGACACCAGGCTAGAAGAAAGCAACCAACCTTATGGTAAGCCTAATGCACAATTGAGTATATCCGAGAGTCTAATCCTATGGATTAGGTATGTGACCTGATCGAACCAGTCTTACCTCTCTATTCTTAGTCATTAACATAAAGTTTAAACAATTTCGGCACCAAATGCTGGCAAGAGCTCTCTCTGGAAATTTAGCTACACACCCAAATTTGCGTCAACGTTAACTACTCATTCTACAGGTTTTAGGTGGCAAAGATATTAGGGGGCTACAAGTATCCATGTCACATAAAAACAAATCAAACATAAATCGAGTCCACGAATAACCAACATCACCGTCCTTTTGGTTTACGTATTAAGAACGTAAAAGCAGTCACTGATTAGCGAACAATATCTTTTTCTTGACATGTATAGTATGAACACGAATGAACTCGCTGATTAACCAACGCTAAAGTCCGTTTCTTGTTCTATAATATCATTAGCAGCAATGGAGTCAATGATTACCTGACATTACTGTCTTCTCGATGTCTAATATTAACAACGGAATCAGTGATCATCTGACATTACTGTCTTCTTGATGTCTGATATTAACAATGGAGCCAATGATTACCTGACGTTACTGTCTTCTTGATGTCTGATATTAACAATGAGTCAATGATTACCTGACATTACTGTCTTCTTGATGTATAATATTAACAATAGAGTCAATGATTACCTGACATTACTGTCTTCTTGATGTATAATATTAACAATAGAGTCAATGATTACCTGACATTACTGTCTTTTTGATGTATAATATTAACAATAGAGTCAATGATTACCTTACATTACTGTCTTCTTGATGTATAATATTAACAATAGAGTCAATGATTACCTGACATTACTGTCTTTTTGATGTATAATATTAACAATAGAGTCAATGATTACCTTACATTACTGTCTTCTTGATGTATAATATTAACAATGGAGTCAATGATTACCTGACATTACTGTCTTCTTGATGTCTAATATTAACAATGGAGTCAATGATTACCTGACGTTACTATCTTCTTGATGTCTGATATTAACAATGGAGCCAATGATTACCTGACGTTACTGTCTTCTTGATATATAATATTAACAATAGAGTCAATGATTACCTGACGTTACTATCTTCTTAACGCTTTAATAAAAAAAGTCTTTGTGTCATTTTCAAAGAAATGGCTCGTTTCTTAAAACAGGTCAGAAATTCAATACACACTTCCAACATACTAATCAGGAATTTAGAATTGCCTTAACAGCTCTTAGATGGTGTAGAAGTGTTATTACGTTAATCTGGGATTCAGAATTTATGTGGAACTTACCAGGAAGATAATTCTGAGTGAGACTAGGTAATAATAGAAAGAGCTAATATATTTCACAAGGGCGTTTTCTTTGTTCGGAGCATGTACAGCGGCATCACGTCTCGAACCTTGGACCCTTTAAACAGCAGTCCAACATGCTAGCCACAAAGCTATGCTTTGCCCTAAAGCTAAATACTACTTAACTACTCAAAAATACTGCGAAGTAAGTGTGGTGACTTTTTTAGTTGAAATTATTAAAATATTTTAACAATATAGGAAATGTTTACTAACCTAAACATACGTCTGTGGTCATTCTTTTCCAGGGGACCCACTAGATGGCGTCGTTGGACTCCTAACGGTTAAGGCACTCATCTTCTGCGTGGGTGAAGATGACCCAAACTCTTCTACGATCACTTTCTCTCTGGGTGATTTTTCTCGAGGTGATTCACTGACATCTTCAACGCTAGAGCTGCTGTCTGGAAGCTCGTAGCGCGCATGCGTTCTCATGTGGCGCGTAATCATGTCCCTTCTGCAAGCAGCGTAGGGACACTGTGGACATTTATACGGTTTCTCTCCTGTGTGGGTACGCTGATGTGTACTCAGGTGGTCACTTCTGCTGAAAACCTGGCCACACACCCTGCAAGTGTAGGGTTTCACTCCCGTGTGTAGCCGCATGTGGCGGGTAAGCATGTCACTTCGAGCAAAAGAGCGCTTACAAACCTCACATGCGTAGGTTTTCGAAACGGTTTCGTTCTGCCTACTTCGGTGCCTCGACGCTATATGTTTGGCTAGTCTGTCATGTAGCGAAAACATCTGACTACAAATGGGACACACGTATGCAACTTCTTGACCTGTAGCTCCCTCTACCTCTAAATTGTATCTCACTACTGGACTATCTCGTCTTAACAGACCACTTTCTGTAACCACTGGAGACGTTGGCGTACCAAAGTGTGACCCTAACTCTGTCTTGAGAGTAAGAAACCCCCGAGTTCCTACTCCAGCACTAACTGGGTGTGTCATGTCAAACATGGTAAAAGAATGAGAGCCATGGGGACTAACCTCGTGTTCACTAGTATAAGTACCGGGAGACAAGGGTACATACGTTTTCGACACGGTTTCTGGTATAGCACCGCCAAGTGGCTTCTCTGGTATGAGCATTGGTCTTGGACTGCGTGTCTTCATCGACAGGTCTAATGGCGAGTCCTGTGGTGTTGATTGGTCTGATTCCAAGCTTCCGCTCTTCTGTATGTTAGGTATTTTTAATGGCTTCGGAACAAGGCGACCATGTCGTATCACAGTACCGTGTACTGCCTCTTGAAGGTGCGGAGGAGGGGCCATCATAGATTGCTTTTGTTCTGTGCTACCTTCTAGCCATTGCTGAAGGTCACTGTCAGAATGACTTCGCCGACGGTAAAGTTCTGGTAAATATTTTGGCTGAAAAAAGGTTTCATAACCAGACGTAAATGGTGAGATGGGGGTAAGAGGTGATATAGGTGAACTAGGAAGCATTTTTACTGCCTCAAGTAGTGACCCCTGGTGTCCTGGTTCATCCCACGACAAGCCAAAAGACAAATGATGTCCAAATCTCCCACTAGTACGCCCAGCTAGGGTTTTGCAGTGGTGACAATTGCAGATGGGGAAGGTGGGAATGGGACTCTCAACTAGTGGTACCTTTGGCCGAACTGCTCCATCAACCATACCAAGTACACCTTGAGGTGTAGTTACAGGAGGAGGGTGTAGATAAGGTGACAAAAATTGTTTAGGTGCCCCTTCCTCAAGGTTGAAAGTGGAGATTGTATCTCCAAGAAACGGATCATCAGTTCTCTCTCCTTCAGGTCCTGGACTGAGTGGAAGTTCTTGCTCCGTGGAGCGAGATTCACTGTCCTCGCGACTGCCCCCTGAAGCTGGAGGAGTGAAGATGCAAGAAGGCGATTTCTCATCTATCTTTTCTCCGAGATCGGTGTCTTCAGAGGTCCGCTGGAACAATGGCTTCCTGCTAGAGTCGTAATGGTATGAACTGTCTAAAGGAATTGACACGTCTGAATAGACAGGAGTTGGTACTCGAAACATAGGCGATCGTGGCGATCTCTGGCGAGATTGAGACTCGAAAGACGGAGATTCGAAAATGTGTTCTATAGTTGGAGGCATGCTAACTGGAACTGTATCTATATGCTCAGATAAGTCTTCTTCTACCTCTCCCAAATCAAGTTTTGCTTGAGCTGTTAAACTGATATCAGAATCAACTGAAAGTTGCTTCTGAGGTGCTTTAGGGACTTTAATATGTCTAGCAGGCACCAAACAAAATTTCTCCTCTTGCGGTTTTTCTTCAACTGTTCTTTCTTGACTGCTTGAAATTGTCTCTTCAGGAATGCCCTCAGTATTTCTCTTCTCGATTTGAGTAGCGAGTTTGTCCACAACAGCGCTTAAGCGTTTTCTTTTGCGAGTGTTGGCAACATCAACCGACTTTGCACCATCTTCTTCAGTACTAGTGGTCATTGTTAGGCTCTGTTCAGCCATACTACATCTGGACACTGGTCATCATCCATTCAGAGGCAGACCAGTCAACGATTCTAATCTAATTTTTTATGACAAATTCTCAGGATTTTCTTGATAAGATGGTTATTCTCCCACGTTATTCTCACCAATCAACATTCAGTGATAGATAACTTAACAGTGAAGGACTCAGTCCAATAATTCCTGCTTTTATTTTTCACAGTGAATCCAACACTTGAATTTTTATCTTCTTCTAACAAATTTTGTATGTTCTGAAAAGAAAAAAATTAAAATTATGTTTCCAAAAGATAATATGGTATAGTGAAAAGTCATTTATGCAAGAAAGTGGAAAGCAATTACAATATATGAAATGTCACTAGTTATTGTGCGTAGCGGTTAGATATTTATATATGTTAACATATATATCAAGGCTTAATACTTTACATAAAGATGCATTCAATATTACAGAAAGATGTGGAAAATGTTTGTGATTGTATTATGATGCGCAGATTATGTGTAAACAATCCAGGGAATCGTTTCACAATCCATAACGAAAGCGAAGTGGATAATTTTATGTTCTGTACTCGGTTGTTTTATGTAGTGACGTAATTGTTTGTTTGTTATGGATTTCGCACAAAGCTACACGTGGGCTGTCTGCGCTCGCCGTCCCTAATTTAGCAGTGTAAGACTAGAGGGAAGGCAGCTAGTCATCACCACCCACCGCCAACTCTTGGGCTACTTCTTTAACAACAAATAGTGGGATTGACCGTCACATTATAACGCCCACACGGCTGAAAGGGCGAGCATGTTTGGTGGGACGGGGATTCGAACCCGCGACCCTCATATTGCGAGTCGAGGACCCTAACCACCTGGCCATGCCGGGCTTAGTGACGTAATAACATGTCCGCACAAAAATATGTTACAACTTACGGTTTAGTGTAGTACAAAATGCATGTATTTTTTTTTCTCAGCTATACACATTTGTCTAACATTATCGAAATACATTCTAAACCATACAGAATATTCCACTTCAGCTTTTCATGGAAATCTAGTCTATTAAAAAATTTATTAACTTTACACTGCATTCCTTCACGTGCAATTATGTCAGAGCAATAATTCGAAAGATTAAAATAAATACATCATTCTGAAAACATTATTAACACGCCTAAATTTTATTTTGGTAAATTGCGCATCTACGACTATCACAGCGGGATAGATTATTGTTTCAGTTACAAGCGACAAACTGGTTGAAACTATCTGCATCATTCTACACAGTGGCACAACAAGGAACAAAGTGTTTCAAGCTCTCTCTGGCATTCTACACAGTGGCAAAACAAGAAACAAACTTCGATACGGAAAGTTTCGGATAGTTTGTTCCTTGTGCCACTGCGTATAATGATGCAGATCATTATTGAATTCTACACACTGGCACAACAAGAAACAAACTGGGTGAAACTATCTGTACCATTCTACGAGGTGGTACAACAAGAAACAAACTGTGTGAAACTATCTGTACCATTCTATAAGGTGGTACAACAAGAAACAAACTGTGTGAAACTATCTGTATCATTCTACACGGTGGCACAACAAGAAACAAACTGGGTGAAACTATCTGTATCATTCTACACGGTGGCACAACAAGAAACAAACTGGGTGAAACTATCTGTACCATTCTACATGGTGGCACAACAAGAAACAAACTGTGTGAAACTATCTGTACCATTCTACAAGGTGGTACAACAAGAAACAAACTGTGTGAAACTATCTGTACCATTCTACAAGGTGGTACAACGAGGGACAAACTGTGTGAAACTATCTGTACCATTCTACGGTGGCACAACAAGGGACAAAATGTGTAAAACTATGTGCATTACTTTTTATAGTCATACAACAAGGGATAAACTGTATAAAACTATCTGCATCACTCTATATGCATATACGAGTACTTTACCTTAGGAAACTAAAATAACGAGAATTCTGGGGTTTTAACATGTAAAATATCTTTGCTTTTAATAACGTATTACTCGTATATCTTGCTAAATTCAACACTTTTGTAGTCTTCTTTGGGTGTTGCTATCAAACATAATTATGTCTTATGTTTTTTTTAGCAGAAAATGATAAAATATTATGTAGCTCCATAACTTATTTAAAGTTAATGCTAAATTATGTTAGAACATGCGATAAATTCAGTCATGTCATTTATGAAGTTTCTTGAATTAGAATACATCATGAAGATGGTTTTTCAAAGAGATATTTATCATATTTGATGTCAGAGGGCAGCACTTGATACATTCACAGATGATTTCAGCATACACAAAGTAATTGATTTTAAATACTTGCATTATAACACTTTACACTTTCGACTCAATCTGCATGAAAGTTTTAACTAAACATATTAGTGTTATATTTAATTTCAATCACAACACAGATTGTCTTAAATAATTTCAACTTTTATTTATCCATTCATAACCTAGTAGAGGAAAAAACAAAGTTGCGTGTGTAACAAAAATAGATTTCGAAATTTATATGCAACAAGGTAAACAGTTTTATTTATTGTTTCTTAGTTAAGAACATAAAAATCCTAAAGATCATTCATGGGAAAATGTCCAAAAAAGTAATATATTTTCATAGTTACCGCGTTTGCTTTATTTGTAAAGAAAAAACAACAACCAAGTACAAATCGTCTTTAAAGTGTAAGAGAGAACTGCAACGAATGTTTTACGGACTCAAAACGTTCCTCCTGTATTAGTAACGTATTTACGGAACCCGTAGAGATCTGATTACATGATATGACCTTGAACCCTACCAATTAGGTTTAGAAAAATGTCGAATAGGAAAACAAAACCGAATAAGATTCAAAAGCGACACGTTATTCCCAGGAATAAAAGTTTATTATTGACTGTTTCTGCTCAGCTTATGTGTAAAAGCATTGCATATTTGTTTAGATGTTTTATACACTCTAGGACGAGTGAAATATTTGTATTGAAACAGTTTTGGAGCTAAAACGCTGTACACGTCCATACCTGAAAAGCCTACGTAATAATTACGAGGATGCAAATGATCAATTTAATCAATTCACGATTAGGTAGGAAACTTCTTCCATGGTGTTAACAGCGACTTAACGAGTCACTTAACCGAAGTTACACCCATTCTTAGATGCATGTATCAGGATACTTTTTAGGCTTAATGAAACATTAAAAAAAGAATGGCCATTCTGGTCCTTACTGTTGATATATATATATATTCTTATTAGACCAAACTTTCCTCGTCAGAAACAAAACAACAATTTAGCAGCATTGCTCTCTGACAGAATGGATAACAGTCTGAAAAAAAAACAAAAAACAGGCGGATGAATGTTGGAAGAATAAGCTTCCAGATTAGGATACTCAAAAGTCACATGTCTGTCAAGAGTACAGTTTGAGAACCAGACAGCTGCACCTCCTTTATGTGTCCCATTATGCTGTAATTGAAAAACGAGCAGCAATCTTTAATTCTACAATAAACAATACACACAATAAACAATACACACAATAAACAATTCCTCCTGCGAAGAGTCCACTTCTCTTTATGTTTGTACCTTTTCTCGGAGAAAGGACCAACCAACTTATATTACTTACATATATACCTCATTAAAGCAGAGATCATCACCGTTTCAACTCATTACAATATACAATATAATGAAGCATTGGAAAACACGCAGCACGTGTACAACTCATATATATACATAAAGTTTAATCATCATTTGATCGTTATTGAAAAACACATACACTCGCTGCGCATAGTTCATAGCTTTTCAAATGGCAAAGTACAGAATAATCAGCCATAGATTGCAAACCTGAAAAACTGTAGTCAGAATGATGTCGTTTTTACAAACATATCTTACACACAGAATCATTTTGAAAAACAATTATCTCCATATTATTTTAATAGAATATATTTAACTTCTCTACACTGACGATAATTGAAGTTCGTACAATCATTACGCAACATAGCCCGTGCCCTGTTATTATGGGTGTCGATCCAACAAACTTCGGTCTAATAATAGTGAGATGAACAGATGAATTCGATTCTTTCACTAGGCCAGAAATTTTCGCTCTTTTCCTTTCTATGTTTGTATCTGTTTGGTCTTTCTGTTTATTGAGCGCTTTTTTAAAAACTCTGCAAGAAACAGTTAAGTATGATGTAGGTCCCACGAGACCTAGCGATGCCGTCAACGAGCTCAACTCGGAATCCCATCCTCCGCGCAGGTAGTAGAAACACAGGGACGTTTGCTGCAAGAACAAATAAAGTTCTTAATATAACACATTGTTGCACGACAAGGCTCATAGTGTTACGCAGACTAAGTTATAGTTTGGGTTAAAATACTTTAATTATAGATAATATATATATATATTATCAGAGTTTCACGTGCTGACGTCAAAACAGACTTTTATGTTTATTACCGAAGTGGCGGGAAAACAACAGAGTTTCTCCGGCCCTTCCAGCGTTCCCGGGACTGAAGCACTTAGACGAAGACACTGGGATAACATGCCACTAACTGCCGCATACTTGTTCCTGTTCTTCCATAGAGTTAAATACCATACAGAGTGTTCCGAATACTCAAGCTCAATACTCAGTAATAATAATAATGAAATTTCCAATACACCACAATAAAAATGCAAGGCACTATAGCTCTGGTAATTAAGATTAGCTTAAACTGGTCGTTTGAACATTTTCATACACATTTGTACGGCAGACTATTATAGCTACAGATACACTGCGCCGTCTTGTACATATCACGCATACCATGCGACTTTTTCAACCGTAAAAAGTTTCAATATAAAATATCTGCACCCTGAAGACGCATATCGTAGCATTTTAAAATTCTCAACACGTGCTGTTATCGAACTGCAAATGTTGTCTTAAATATCTTATTTAATAGAAAAACCTCACTATGAGAAAGACCAGCTTAAACACGTGAATGAACGAACTCGTTTTCATCTTACCTGTGAAAAATGGTACCGATCACTACCCAGCACGTGCTGCTTCTTCCTGTGTTGCTAACCTTCTCCGCTTCTTAGCGCGAGTCTCCACCACCGCATACAGGGACTCCTACTGCTTCCCCTCCCGGGGCACCAACCTACCTGAACAACAGCTCAAACTGCCCCCCCCCTTTACTCTCTCTCCCTGGCGTTCCCATATAGCCAACAGGGGCCACGGTCAATGCGACTTCTGATTTCAGAATAACCACAGTAATTAATCACATTTAATGTTTTATAACTTTCAATCTGTG